TACCATTCAAAAGTATAACCAATGGTTCAGTGAAAAATCTTGCATACTGAAGCATCAGAAAGGAAACAAAAGCTAAACAATTTAAACTGAAGAAAAATTGTACATACATAAATACACAATGCTTACTTCCTTACGTAGTCGGGGTAAATAAAAAATATGTATTTAGCAGCTTGAAAAAAAACACCAGGACTGCACATAAATATTTTAAATAGCTAAACTGAATAACAATAACATCACAGCTGATATTTAGAAAATAGCTAACATACATACATCTATACATACACACTTATATGTATGTATGCTATCAGTGCCATTTCATTGTTCCATTTGAATCCTTTAATGTTCAGACAGGACTGCTAGGATTGCATATTATTATGTATTATTGCAAGTTGTTGGGACTAAATGATAGTTTACAAACACTGAAAAGTTGAAATTTGTGCAATGCAAGGGGAAGAGTCCTGTGATTTGATTTTTAAATAGCCACAGTGAAGAAAGGGGTTAACATTTTCAAATTCTGCTAGCAGACAAGGCAAAAAACAAGTCCTTCTCCAATGAGTTACCTAACAGGCAGTTTACAGATTTTGCAGCATATTGACAAGGGGCGTTCCTAAAAGAGTTGGGCCATTTTCATCAATAAGAAGCTTTGCAGCAAGTAAGGGCATGATACAGCCCTTTAATCATCAGAATGGCATGGTATGGCTATTTACAGTTGTAGCAATAAAAATAAAGGTTTTAGCTTACATAGGGAACAGCAAGAAATTAACCCCGTGGTTAACGTCACTATTTGTCTGGTTTTCCTATATTTTTTTTTTCCATTCTTTAAAACAAAATTCTGCACAAGGGGAGAACGTTCTTAATGAACATTTTCCTCCTCTCTCTTTAGACATAAAAAATAGTTCAACCAGCCCAACCAGCCAAGCAGGCCTTTCTCTTCCCCTGCGGACACCTCCTGCAGTCGAGAAGTTCATTAAGTTTTATGATCTTCCCAAGTCAGTCCTGCTTATAAGCCTCACAAAGGCCACAAATCTGGCAAACCATCATGTATGCCATTAGGCTTTACTAGTAAATGAATGCTATTTAGGGTTTGTGGTGACAGTAAATTAGGGTTTGGTTGGCAGCTATCATTGTTTCTGTTGGGCTTATAGAAATAAATAAATAAATGTATATGTGTACACACCTACGCACATGAATTCAGACATTTTTATAAATGTGTGTTCATATCTATACAAATGATTTTTAAAGACAAAACACCAAATCATCTATCAACACAATCCAGGGCCTAATAACATGCCATTCCAGTGGGAAATAATTGTAATTCCCTAACCATTTTAAGACTGTAAGAATTAATATATTTTCATTTCTATCTCCATGAGAATAACCAGTACCTCAGGTATAGCAACGTCCTAATGGAGGCTTAATCAAATTACAAATCTGAAGGATTTTTAGTCAGTAAAAAAAAGCTATTAAAACAAAGGCGCAAATCAGTTTTTGATTCCTACTGGTAGGCGCGTAAGGAGACAGACTGTTACACAGGTATGCAACAGATGTGAGCGCGCATTAAGAATGCAACTTCCAACACTTCCAAGCGACACCTCAGAGAACGGGTAAAATATAACAAAATGGAGTTAATAAGGCTCTCACTGGCTTATCTTCGTATTTTATTGGAGGGGCTTCGGTAGAACTTTGGGTATCATTTTTCTTTGAACTAATTAAAGAAATAAGTGGCAGTTTCTTTATGAAAACCATGCTACCTTGTGGTTGCCTCTAAGAATGCACATAGCTATTAATATCTGTAAAGCTCTTAAATGTATTATGCAGCACTTTTTAAAATGTTAAAATGTTAAAAAAGAAATGTCAGGCTAAATTCAGTAAGCTCAGTGATTTGCTTTGTACATGGTAAATACCTCACAGGAAAAAAAAAATAGAAATCTTCAGCTCCTAACCCTAAGTGAGAGTGAGAGAGAGGCTTTCAAAAATGTGATGCATTCATTAACCCTTGCGGGAAAGTGATAAGAGTTGCTCTACCTAAACTGAGGATTCCTCTACGTGTTCTCTCACAACCAGTCTCACAAAGTCCTCTCTGACTGTACTGAAAACTACTGAAGTATAAAAAAAATACATAATTCAATATAAAAATGACTTAAATATTGCATTACTTATTTCAGAACAGACATGACTGCAGTTACACTTCATGTATAGGCTACAGTCTCTCTCCTCACCTCTCCTCCTTCTCACAGAAGAAGGTAGCAATAAAGCCATGACGGCAATTCCCACTGCCAACACCAAGGTAAACTTTGGTTCCGATTAAAAAGAATTAAATACCGGCGCATGACCCATTTGCAGGCAGATTTAAGTACTCAGACCACAAGACAATGCAGAGTACCAGGGCGGGGGGGGGACGGACACCGGGATGGGGACGGGGACCTCTGCTTTAATTGCATCTCAGACCGTTCACCCTTCCAGTTCAGAATTGTTTGAGCCGTCTCCTACAAAAACAGCTTACAGAAAATATGCTAGAATTTGTTTTTCACATTTTCTTTGCTTTAGCACGCTAACTAAAGCCTACATAGACATTTCGTCTCAACTGGGAGACGCTGAGTGAAGGTCCCCCTCCAGGAACAGTTTTTGGTGGGGGTGCGGATTCACCTCCATCAATCACCCGGTGCATTAATCCTGTCCCTCCTGTGCTGCCGGGATCTTGCCTTTGGGCAGGCGGGCGCCTTTACTCTTTGTTGGTTCTCAGCGATTTCACAAAAGAGATAACTTGCAAACTTGGCTCGACTACTTGCAGCACAAAGGCAGGATCCCAACTTACAAGTTATCACTGAAACACCCCGAAACGTTTCAGACCACAAAGTCTCTTGTCAGGTTCCCTCTCGCCTCCGAGACAGCTGTGGCCTCACCAAACACCCTCCGCCAGTAATCCCCGCTGCTGAAAGGACTTGGGTTTTTCTTCGCAGCTCACCTCTGACATGTGGTTGACTATACTTTCCTTTCAAAACAGTGAGGCTAAGCCCTCTGCAAATAAAGTGATCGGAGGACCTACGCCTGCCTCCTTAATTGAAATCTGCCTGCTGCAAAATGTCTGAACATCGAGGGCAGGTTGCTTGGCTGGCTCCGGAGCAGGACAGTCAAAAAAGTTTAGGGAAAGGCAGAAAACAACCACAAGCCAAAGAAGGACGGAAAGGGGTTACAAGCTGATCGAGGCAAAATGTAGGTACGTGGGGAAGGAGGGCAGAAGGGGGATCATTCCCCTTATCCCGGGTAATATAATGCAATATAAAGCAGAATCAATCTTAATATTCACAACACAGTCAATACCCTAGTGCTTAGCTGTCAGCAGAAACTGAAGTGGATCCCCGGTAGCAAAGAAACCCTTGGACATAAAGCACCATAATTTACTGGAGCTGTGCACTTTTAGGCTTCTCAGCTGAGATTTGCAATGATTTCACGTTTGCTGTTTTCGTCTATAATCTTTATTTTTTCAGTGTGCAATTAAGGGGAATGTGATTGAGTACCAAAATATGGCTAAAAAGCCAGCCAACGCATATATTTATTTCTAAAGCCAGATCGTAAGAAATGTTCTTATTCTCATAATACAAAGCAAAATACTTTGCAAATTTTCCTTTTTTTTTTTTAAATCTCTGTAAATTCAGTGATGTGAAAAAATTGCAAAAAATCCCCTGAAATGCCTCTAAAAAAAAACCGCAGAGTTTATTATAGTGTCGCATGCATGTAGAAAAAAATGTCTTTTTTGTACTTTTGTGGTGAAAATTTTTGGCACTTAAAACATCATCGCCCGAGAGCAACTCAAGCTTCGCCGCACTCTACACGGACCTGGGGTCAAAGCATCCATCACTTGGCGTTCCTCAGGCTCTCTGTGGGAGTCTCCTTCCCCCGCTCTGCTGACAGGGGTTCAGCTTTGCTCCCCCCAAACCTGGGCAGCGCACACCCTCAGAAACTTTATCGTCCCCGCTGCGTGCTACGCATCCCGGGGAAAAAAAAAGAAAAAAAAAAAAATTAAAAAAAAATGTGAGGTAACACCGATCTGACAAGTATTTTGCCAAGTGTCCTGACGGTCAAAAAGGCAGCCCGGGCGCTAGCGGGGGACCTCCGGAGCTGTGTGAGGAGAGCGGCGGGGGATTCTCCACCGCGCCATTTCGCAGCGAGTCAGCCTGACCGGGCCGCCGGCGCCGCCGGGACG